TTAATCAACTTCGTTGAATTTATTTTTTAACACGTCATTCCCCAGTAGTCCATGCGTTTTTCGGCAATTTGTAACTATAATGGGTACTATTTCATATTTTTCTTTTTTAATTCTATTGAACCTTCAAAGTAACCCATAATTGCTATAATCGAGCCATCAAACTGACGTAGTTGTACGTTGGTTTTTTTAAAAACGGTTTTCCCATTTTTTTTCCCACAAATTTCTGGGTACTATCGTGACGTCATTACCTGTGTCGATTTGCATTTCGACAATACAGTCGTTGATTTTCACTTTTATTTTTGTATCTCCGTTCTAAGATCCAGTATTTTGTATATTATCCTTTTTACATTAAAAATCTGTCTATTTTCATCCTCTACTCTTTCCACATTTTTCGTTTTACATACTTCTTTGAAGTGATTTTTTTTTTAAACACTTTGAACACGTCTTTCCAAAGGCTGGGCATTTTTTCTTTTTTCATTTCATGAATTTTTCCACAGTACGCACAATTTTTCTTTTTGTTTGTACCGTATATGTTTCAGCCATTATTTCTTCATAGGATTTATTTTATTTTGGTTGTAGGTATGTATTAATTCCTGCTGTTGTATAAATTCTATACACATATTCAAAGGCATGTTTGTAAGTTGTAACTGTTCCATTAACTTATATCTATGTGCTGAATTATGCATACCTTCAATTAATCTTAGTTGGATTAATTCTTCTTCCGTTGTCTGCTCGCCTGTTCCTAGTTTTCGAATTCACAGTATTTACTCGCACTTCTTAACCGGTGTAAATATTTTACTATCGGTTCATCCACTTCCTGCTTCATTGCCATAAACTTGGTCCTTTCTGCAATCACCAGTCTTTTCTTTGGCCTCATGTTTCCCTTAATAACCTGACTTATTTCTTCGAAAGTCATTTCTTCTAGTTCTCGAGGGTAAACCATTGTAGCAACCTTCATAATCGCTTCACAACCAGCGGTAGCCATGAACAAGTCGGTGATTTCATTTTCCCCTCCTCTGTTTTTGTTGTCTTTCAACTTTTTACATCTAGCATTAGCAGCAAAGCAACGAATCCACGTGTCTACATACTCTGGGTCTTCAAGGACCAAAGAGTATCCTATCGGCGACGCCATTGTTATGTCGTGTATCCACTAAGTTCGTATTCCACTTCCGTTCTCGTTGGTGTCCATTTATTATATATATGAGCTACCTGCTCATATGCAAATTATACTAATTTGCATATCACTACAGAATCAATCTGTAGCTTCAGGATCTTATCATTCTCATATGCCTGTTCCAGCTTATGGTTTATGTTTGTACTATAGTGTACAAGTTTTGATTTGCCATTCACCATTGTCATATAGCTCCACTGGACAAACCTTTGGGTAATTTCAGCATTGTGTTTTGTAGATTGTTCTTTTACAAGGGACATTAAGTTGTTGTTGATTTTTTCCTTTACTGTGAAAACATCATCCTTATATCCACTCACTATGATCTTTGAAGGCATGAATTCTATTTTTACTTCATATTGATCCTGCAGACTATCAATAATCAGCTTCTGTGTAAGAAAAGTAGAAGAAACAGATGAACAACAATAATCAGGAGAAAACAACCATTTTGATTGGGTAGCTAAAACAGAAAAGCTAGATCGGAAGGAAGTATAATCAGGTGATTCAATTCAAAGCAACAAAACAAATGAAAAATTCACTTATACTAAAAAGAAAATAAGAATAAAATTGGAAAAAAATAAAGGAAAGCATTCTTTTTAAAAAAGGAGTGTATATTTTTAAATATATTTAAACAATAACTTGATATTGCAAAATTTAATTATAGCTGTAAATAGCACTGATGTAGACCTCTTAATACTAAAAAGAGGGTATATATCTTAGAAAATCTTATGATCAACTCTTTATCAGAGATCAATTGTTGACAAAACCATTTCCCCTACCAACAAGAACAACAAAATACACTTTTAAGGGGCCTAAATGGGAGAACAAACTGGTACATGATTAAAATAGAAAATCTTCTTCAATCAAATTTAGAAAATCAATTCAATTTGTAAAATTAAAAATGAACAAAAACCAGAAGTGAATCAGATGAAAAAAATAATTAGTGTTCTCTCAAAAGTAAAAAGGAATAAATGGAACTTTCCTTTTGCCTGCAAAAGTAGGTCTTAATTTTTATTCTAATTGCTTCAACAATCTTGAACAAGTGTTGAAACTGTACTCTATGCAAAATGTCAAACTAATTTTCCCGATATTCACCAAAACACATAGGATTATCAACCAAATTCTGGCCAATCACAGAATCTGAAGTCAACCAACTCACCCGTGTTGAACAATGCAACTCCCTTCATCTTATATAAGCTGAAACATGGTAGATGATTCTTGTAATCAAGTCTAGACTGGTTAGATCCACACAATTGGCATCCCACAGATATTTATAATAGTACACATCAGAGCTATTTAAAAATGAGTGGACCTTATCCTTCTGAAAAGAAGGAAAAACACTTCCCAATTCAGTGGTCCAGTAACATTCAGAGATAGAGAAAATAATCTGGTCTATGTTTGCCTATCCAAGGTAATTTTAAGTAAATAGGTAATTTGTTTGTACCATGTATAAGAGAAGAATTAAATTTAGAAATGTTATGCCAAAAGACTCAAGTAATCAGTTCCTCTGGATAACCATTATTCAGAAAGATATGCTTCATGTTATGTAACTCCTCTTCCAACCTTTTAGAGGAACACATCATTAAAGCACAATGTACCAATGTATTAACCAAGTTAATCTTTCTACTTTTTGGTACAAAGGATTTTAGTGTACAGACCTGAAAAAGTTGGTTTAGATTAAAATGTGTTATCAGATCTTCAAACAAGAATGTCCAGAAAGGTTAAGGAACAATCATTCTCCCTCTCCATAATAAACTTCAAAGAAAGATGCAGCAACACAAGTTGGTCAAAGAAAATGACCACCTCTTGTTCATCACCAAGCAATGCAAACATATTAACATACGAATGTGCAATGTTGGTCTATGAACATTTTCAAACAGCCAATTTAAAAAAAAAAAGCAAAACAACGAAAATATTTGTGAAAACTGGGCTTAAAGGACTGGCCACTGCAACAGCAACAATCTGACTGTATCTAACATTGTTGAAACTAAATCTACACCATCAGCAGCAACAAGCATTAAAAATATTTTCAGGAAACTGAGGGATACAGAGATGACCATGATATAGGACATCAATACAAATGTCAATTGTTTCCTCAAGTGTTACATTAGTAAATAAACTGATATCAAATGACACCTTAAACCCAGAGACAGAATCAGTATCCAATTCCTGAATTACTTTAACAAAATAAAAGGAATCAAGAATGTAGTTGCCTGAACACACAACACAGCTATTTGGAAAGAAGTATAAGGTTCACCAATAAAAGTGAATTTCATTGTCTTAGTTGGAAGAAAAAAAAATTAATTGCTTTAGACAATGACTGATCTTTAATGAAAGGTTTTTAAGATATTTTCACTATTAATATGCTTACATCGGTGCTATTTAAGGCTATATATATATATATATATATATATATATATATATATACTAGCAGTAGAGCCCAGTGTTGCCCGGGGATGTAACAGTAAGAGATTGATCAAGTATTGACCATCATAAAGACTGAAAAATAAAATTGACAAAGATTATTTGTTTAAGGTTGACAGACACGCATGTCTTAATTAGTTTTTTTTTTTTTTTTACGAATTGGTCAAACCCAAACTCAAACAAAAACATTGTTTTCAATCATTATGAGTCTACCGATTGAATAGAATTTTATTATAAACAATTGTCTTGCAAATGGAATTTTTAAAGCATTCTGAATGTAAAAATAAAGAAAAAAGTGTACAAGACAATAAGAAACACTACCTGCCAAAAAAAAGTGAAGTTTTGTTGAAATCGGTTGAAAAATGTAGAAAATCCGATCCCATATATAAATGAACACAAAAACACAAACAACCAACCTTGGTTTTATAATAAGTATAACTTGAAGTGAGTTGTCCCCCTCTCATTAATGCCTCTTAATTGTGTTTTCAAATTGATTTTGTGCAAAAACAATTGTGTTTTTCCAAATTTTAGCACTGTTAGAACCACTGCAAGGTAATTTTACGTAGTCCTGTGAAGTTTTGGTGAAATTGGTTGAAAAGTGTAGGAAATCCGATCCAATATATAAACATAACAGATACACACACACAATCTGCGTTTTATAATAAGTAAGATGATCTAACAAATCGTATTCATTTAGTAGCCTTTCTGTAATCTTTTACAATTTATGATTTTTACTTATTGAATACAGTAAAAAAATTTGGACACCATGTGTATTTAAAGTAGTTTCCGGTTATTATTTTTAGTTAGGAGGACTTGTATATGTTTAGATTTCATTTGTTTACTTTTTGTGTATCATTCTCTGAAAATAAACGCTGAGTCACAGGAAGTTAACGGCATTCGGACGTTTGAGTAGCTGTTAGTAACTTCTGGCTGGATGCGATACACTTAACCGTGCTTTCAAATTGATTTCATGCAAAAACAATTGTGTTTTTCCAATTTTTGGCGCTGTTAGACCCACTGCAAGGTAATTTTACGTAGTCCTGTGAAGTTTTGTTGAAATCAGTTGAAAAATGTAAGAAATCCGATCCAATCTATAAACGTACAGACACACACAATCTGCGTTTTATAATAAGTAAGATGTTACTAAAGGGGAACTCGAAACTAAAAAAGTGGAAATTTAAAAAGGTAAACCAAGGGTAAATCCAAAAGGAAATGGGGTTTTAATACAATTGGCTAACATGTGTAGGGTTGGGTTGGAACTATAAAACAAAAAAGCAGCTAGAACACGCAATTAACAACTTGCGGTGTCCGAAGTTGGCGAATAAAGTAAGCCAAGTACGTGCACGTGGGCAGCAATAAACGCAAAAGTGTGAAAGCACGCCTGAGTCACGCAGTAGAGTTTTTTGACCTTGAGTGATGTTCCACTCTCTATTAAACAAATTGGTGAAAGAGGAAATCACGATAGATATCGCTGTCATTAAAGTAGGGGAAAGAATCGGTAACAGTGACCGTGCCCTCTCAACACAAGCCTTAGGTGAATGGAGAGAGAGTGACAATACCCACTCTCTCTTAGCGAATATTGCGTATACTGTTGCATTAGTGCGTGTAATGGAGGCCGTCTGTAAGGGGAGGAGGGGGATGACCTTGGCGCCCGAAAAGGCACCCACGTGTGGACAATTATTGAAGTTTAAAAAGTCAATTATGAGTCAAGGTCCACTGAGGAAACGACGAAAATTCTTGTAAACCCCTAAGCAAGACACACAGACCCCCCCCTCGTAAAGGACTCACCTGCATGAACAAAAAAAAAGAAAGAAGAAGGAATCAAGCAGAAAAGTCGGGTACAAGGTAAGTACTGTGTTCTTTCCTTAATAAATATCATCTTCAAAATATTTTTGTTTTTTTGCCTATCAGATTTCTTTCATCGGCATTTTTAAATTATTTCTTAATACTTTCTTTTAAATACTGAATTAATTTCAAATAGAACCAATTCCTTATAGATGCCTTGTACCAAATTGCAAAGGGAATTATAAAAATGGCCCTAAAGTAAATGGAATTATCTTTCCCTAAAGATAAAGAATTATCCAATGTTTGGATTTGTACAATCAGTAGAGATCGTTAGATTATTGTTTAAGGTTGACGGACACGCATGTTTTAATTAGTTTTTTTTCTTTTTTTTCTTATTTGTTAGTTTTTATGAATTGGTCATACCCAAACTCAAACAAAAACATTGTTTTCAATCGTTATGAGTCTACCGATTGAATAGAATTTTATTATAAACAATTGTCTTGCAAATGGAATTTTTAAAGCATTCTGAATGTAAAAATAAAGAAAAAAGTGTGCAAGACAATAAGAAACACTACCTGCCAAAAAAAAGTGAAGTTTTGTTGAAATCAGCTGAAAAATGTAGGAAATTCGATCCCATATATAAACGAACACAGACACACACACAAACAACCTGGGTTTTAACCCGATGTGAGTTGTCCCCCTTTCATTAATGCCTCTTAATTGTGTTTTCAAATTGATTTTGTCCAAAAACAATTGTTTTTCCAATTTTTGGCGCTGTTAGACCCACTGCAAGGTAATTTTACGTAGTCCTGTGAAGTTTTGTTGAAATTGGTTGAAAAATGTAGGAAATCCAATCCAATATATAAATGTTGCAGACACACACACACACACACAATCTGCGTTTTATAATAAGTAAGATATATATATAGTACTAAGCTATTCTGTATTCACAGGCAAAAGTGCTCAATATCTGCATATGTGAATATAAAATATGGCTTGAAGTGTGCGTTCAAGTATGAAACAGATTGTCAACATTCAGTGTTGACCTGTTTCCACTTGTGTATACACACACACGCCATATTTTCTTGTCAATAATATGAGAATTTAACAAAAATTAAAGCCAAAAAGGGATTTTCAGGGGTGAATCCCAAGGAGTGTAGAGAGTGCAGCCCTCCATCCACAAAATTTCTGAGAAAATATTTTTTGTTGCAAAGTAGATAAGGTAATCTAATATAAGGTTTTTCAAATACTCACCAAAAAGAAGAAAACTTCTGTAAAGATGCATTAAAGCGTACAATGCAACCAATGATACTAAAATATCAAAATCCAAGTTCAATGTTTTCTGTGAGACTGGGTGGGCAGAAAAGCACCTTGTTTTAGAAGTTTTCTCTGAAATTTATAGTCCTTTATTGTCTTGTCTAAGCTGAATAATAGCAGCAGATGGCTGGTACAGTAATAGGGTTGTACAGGCACATCAGCCCTTTTGAAGTCAATAACCAATTCTACATTTATTACATCTTTTCAAATAGCAAAATTCAGTTTCATTAGAAAGGTGAGCATTATGCTCCAAAACTCTGAAATGGATGTTTTGGAAGGTTCTGCAATGACTGGAACCATCAAAGACATTTTTCAAAGCATCCAAAATGAAGATGATGATGCATCATTCAAGAAAATGTTTCAATGTAAAGCTTATAGAAAATCATGCAGGCCTTTGTGAAATGGAGAAACCAAGGCAGTGTGCTCGACAAACGTTGTGCTCCAATGTTTTATCCACAACAGTCAGTGAATATTTAAAACGTGCAATCTATATTTTATTTCTCAACTATCTTTTGCAAGAATTCATCTACTGATTTTCAAACATGTCACTACAAACAGCCTTATGTATCAAGCTTCTATCTGTAAACTTTTGTAAAGCTTCATGTGCAGTTCAGAGTTGAACATCTGAACAAAGTTACCATCTGGAAAACCATGTGGAACAAAGCTGTTTTTAAACCAGAAACAATCTTTCAAACTCTGTAACACCCAATGTCTTGTGTCAAAATGTTTCCAAACATTACAAAAGTTCTTCAATTTTTCACACTTAGCAGTTTGCCTGCCAGTTCTGTTTAGTGATCAAATTCATTCTTGAATTTTATAAAGACTAAATGAAGGTGCTCAATGAGTGAAGACAGATTTAATCTGCTTGTTCTTGTTATAAAATAAAATAAGACATATCTCGGCTGATTTACAGGCAAATAAACTAACATACTCAAGAGCGAGAGCCGGATGTGAATGGGACAAGGCCCCGTCACAAAAGACCATTATCTTCGCTTACGCATGTTCCCGACACACGAGTTCCGGTTGAAAAATAAAATAATATCTTAAAGTGTTTCTATTTTTCGACCAATAAAAATGCTTTCCTCCTAAATATACTCGCGTCGTTTTTCAAGCCTGTTAAGCCATAAAAAAACGCCATAAAAGGGGTCACACGGAAGTACACGGGCAGTCAACAGGAAATGAGGAAAGAAACCATTCGATCTCGTCTTTATAGACTTTGCCACAATGCCCAGCTCAAAGGGAAAACACTACATCCTAACCATCTTGAGTAGCTTCAGCTAACACTTTACAGCCATACCATGCGCAAGAGACTGTGCTATCAACACTGCCCGCGGGTTGTACCAGTTCTTCCTTCAACACAGAGAGATTCCACGCATAGTATCCTCTGATCAAAGCATACACTTCACTGGAGAAGTCTATCAACAATTCTGTAACTAGATGTCAATCATGCAAGAACTTCACTGTCCTTGGCACCTGCAAAGCTCAGGAAATATCGAGAGACAACATCGCACGATGAAGAACGCACTTTATATGTTATGCGAAGACAGGAACTGTGAATGGACAGACATTCTAGAATCTTTCGTTTTGTCCATGAATTCCACGACCAACAGCGCCACCGGTGTCTCCCTGCACTATGCCATTACCGGCCATCACCCCAACATCGGCCTACCTACACTACACAGAAAAAAAATCACAAGCGACGATCCTGGAGCATATGGAATGCAAATTAATGCCCTGCTAAAGCAGGTTCACCACCACGTCACCCTGGCCAACGATGAAGGTGACCACAAACTTGAGACTAACTTAAATCGCCTCACATACAAGGACCCAATACAAGTAGGTGACAGGGTTTTACTTCATTGGCCACACTCAACTGTTGCCCAATCATCTCATCTGCCCTGGATAGGAAATTACACCATTATAAAAACGAACAATATGATGTGTCAGGTGCAAAACGATGATGGTGATACAATCTGGATTCACCATGCACATATCCGACGACTGGCTCCACGCCCAACACATCTCTCTAATACAATTCCTCTGCCTCCACCATGTAACACTCACCAGGATCATTCTCCTCCACATCCCTCTGGGACACATAATTCAGCAAATAACTCCATACCAAAACAAATGCCAATAAGAAGAACATGAGGACAACTTCCCACACGCTTCAGAGACTTTATCATGAATTAATCACCCAAATATACACGAATAACGCTCACTGTAAATCAGATCTGGGGAAGCCTTGTTATGAAATAAAATAAGACATATCTCAGCTGATTTACAAGCAAATAAACTAACATATTCAAGAGTGAGAGCTGGATGTGAACGGGACAAGGCCCTGTCACAAAATGACCATTATCTTCGCTTACGCATGTTCCCGACACATGAGTTCCAGTTGAAAAATAAAATAATATCTTAAAGTGTTTCTATTTTTCGACCAATAAAAATGCTTCCCTCCTAATTATACTCATGTGGTTTTTCAAGCCTGTTAAGCCATAAAAGGGGTCACACGGAAGAGACCTGTCACAGTCAGGCTTAGTGGTCAGCAGCAGCCAGCAGCAGTAGCGCCAGCGCCTACCAGTGTGAACTACTATGAGAGATTGACCCAGATTTGAAGCCGGCTTATGAACTTTACCACAAGTTAGCTGTCCCAAACCCACACGTTCCTGTTGAAATAAATCACAAATCTATTTCTGCTATTGTCGTATTTCTTTCTTGCAACCATACGCTTGTCTATAACATTCTTTTTTATGTTCACAAAGACATTCAGTTAGACCATGATAAAATCTTGAAGTTCTATGTAATATTGGGATTTTCCTAATTATATTTGGTAACAAAAATATTGTGACGCCGGCAAGAAGGAAGGAACACAAACACAGATGTAAATGTTTGAAAAATCTTGTATTGTAGGAAAAGAGAAGAAAGCTTCATTACTGTCGGGTTTGCGGAACTTATCTGAAAGATGCGTCCTTTTAACAGCTTTATATTTTCTGTGTCGTTTTGCCTGGGTTGAAGAAAATAGAGTCTTGACTTCTGTGCTTCAGCTGCTGTCTAAATCCTCACACATGTCCTGGTGTTTAGATGACGGAGAGTGCAGACGGGGAGCATGTTGTCTCTGAGGTTCCCAACAAGCAAAAGAGGAAGAGAGTTTGTAAAAACTGCTCACATGGGGGTTTAGCGAAAGTCTAAAAAGGTAGCCTATGATCGGTTGTTTTTTATCCAATCACAGGGCACCCAGTTAGCGACTCCGTAATAATTTCAATATTCTCCCCCAAAACAAAATTGCAATATGAAATCATTACAACATAATTTTTCACACAGTTGCAGATTGTTTTGTTTTTTAAGGCAAAAATAGCCTAAGATGAAAGTTCACAGAAAAGTTTTTTTTTTTTTTTTTTTTAAAATGTTCAAATTAGAATGTAGAAGGAGTGGAAATTTGTTTTCACAAAGAACTCCAAACTTTGAAAGAAGTGAGTGCTGTATTTTATTTTGTATGTAAAGAAATTCTCATTTTGGTGTACTAATAGGACTATAGAAATTTCATCCTCTCAATCATATAGTACAATATCATTAACACTTTGTTTTCTTTGTTCAGCAACAACAACTCTAACATATCTCCCATTAAATTTATGCCAGGGTAAGCAGCTTCATTTAGAGAATATTTCCCCTTAGTCTTCAGGGAGCAGTTAAAAAAGGGTCTAATTTTTGTGGTAGTTTGCTCATCCATCTTGAAAACAGGCCTATGGGGTATCCAAACATGTTTTGAAAATTCCTCAGGTGCCACCTCAAAATGATACCTTCCCGCTCCTGCTGATGGAATACCTCAACTTAGTCATTGAGTAATTTTTGTTGCTCGAGTTTGTTAACTACTCTGTTCAAAACTGAAAGAGCAACTCTGTGATTGGAAGGCACAGACTTTATTTTGTCCTCATGCCAGGGGAGTTTAACGTGATAAGCGTTATCTCTGAATTCAATGGATTTTTCAAATTCCATAATTTTATTTTTATCATAATCACAAATAGCTTTGTCTTCCGGAGATATACCCAGAGAATCTACATCAAACATTTTCTCTAAATTCCTTTCTACTTGACTTCTGTCAAAAATTTCAGCAAAGGGGTCAGGGTAATTCTTTATAGGGTTCATTACAAAATTCACTCTAGTGTCTGAGCTTGTAGAATATTTAGACACTATGGCATGATAATTGTGTTGAAAATCTTTACTCTGTACTTTTTTAGAGGTACTTTGATTTTCATATAAAAAATGTTGGCAGTTGCCTAACGGGGAAATGCCTGTAGGAAACTCCCAATTAGAGCCCTTCATGCAGTTCACCTTTATGATGTTCTTCATAAATTGAATTACATCGATGCCTAAAAGACCATGAACCCTAATATCATTTTTTCCGTGCAAAAAGGCTAGTTTGTAATTTAATTTAAGTAAATTATTTTTAACAGATTTAAAGTTATCAAATCTCAAGTACATATCGAATTCATCATCGATAAGAACAGGTAGGGGCAAGGAATTACCCTTATTTACTTCAATCCCCACTACAACTTGGTTTAATTTTTTCTTTTTAGACCCTAAAAAGGTTTTTACTGGAGTGAGCAAAGATCTATAGCACCCTAATTTTTCAATAACTTGCCTAGAGAAATAAGTCCTTTGACTGCCTGTATCAAAGAGGCAGTTCAATTTGTATTTACGTTTCCCTTTAGAAACGGTAATTGCCACTATCGGTAAAATATAAGGCTGATCCTGTGTGCCATTGTTGGTACACACATGCATAGATGCAGTTGAACTGTTTCCACTCTTATCTGCTTCATCACAAAGGGGGGTAAAGTGGCCTCGGGATTTGCAATTTGCACACTTTCGAGGTAATTTATTTGCTTTGCCATAGCAGTCTTCTGTTCTATGACTAGCACTTGTACAAAAAACACATAAGCCCATCTCCTTGCACCTAGAACGTCTCGACTCAAAGGAGGAATATTTTGAACAATGGTTCATGGTGTGCCCGTTGATGTTGCAAAATCTACAATGTCTAGTAATTTTGCTAGATTTTATTGCAAAGTTTTCCAATGTTGGAACATTTTTCTTTGTGTTGTTATTCTTAGTATAATTCCCTTCCCGTGACTTGAAATTGTCTTAGTGGGAATTAGGATTTTTTTTAAAAACCTGTTTTAATTAAGGTTTTTATAACCTCGTTGTAACTATCAAAAATCTGATTGATTTTTGGGTAGTTACTGTCAACTTTCCGGATTAATTCTTTTTGAAGATTTAAGGGTAATTTTGGAAAAAATTATATGGCTAATTAGTTCATAACCTGGAGTGTTTTCTTCAAAAAAATCCAAATTATACAAGGTTTTTAATTCGGATAGGTCAGCTTTAATTTCTGACAAAAATCTTTTTATGTTGACAAACTCTGGGTCATATTTAGGGCTGCTGCCCAGCAATTGTTTAAAAATTTCATCAATAATGAGAGGAATATCCAAAAATTCCTTTCTCAACAAAGTGATGCCCACTTCAAAGTTTTCATCTTCTAAGGAAAGATGAGACACTAACTGAGACGCGTAGCCAGTTAAAAAACTTTTTAAAAGCACCAGCTTGGCTTTTTTTGAGTGTACAATGTCCACACAGTTTTCAAATTGAACCAGGAAATTTTTAAATTCAAATTTACTGGCTTGTATTCCACTGAATTTAACACACTACAACCTTGGGGCTGAAACACACAAGGCTGTGAGTGGCACTTGTGAATTTTGAACTGGGAGAGATTGTGTATTGGAACTAGAAATATTCTCTTCCAGTCCCGTGA